CACAAAAGCAGACTGGAAGACTAATGGATCAGAATAGAAGATCCATTAGTCCAGACATAAACCCACACATCTGTAGCCACTGATGTTTGACAAAGGAGCCCAAAACACACAATGGAGAAAAGACAACCTCTTCAACAAATGTTGCTGGGAAACTGAATATCCATATGTAGAAGACTAAAACTAGATCCCTGTCTTTCACCCTGTACCAAAATCAACTCAAAGTGGATCAAAGACCTTAATGTAAACAACTCCAGGAAGTAGTAGGAGATTCACTGGAACATATAGGTATAGGGAACAGCTTCCTTAGTAAATCTCAAAAGGCTCAGCATTTAAGAGAAAGAGTAAACAAATGGGATTCTATCAAACTAAAGAGCTTCTGCACAGCAAAAGAAAACAGTCACTAGACTCAAGAGACAGCACACAGAAAGGGAGAATATCTTTGCCAGCTACTCTTCTGATGTGGGACTTAATATCCAGAATCTACAGGTAATTCAAAAAAACTCAACCCCCAAAGACTCAACATCCCAATGAAGAAATGGGCACATGAATCAAGCAGGGAATTCTCAAAGGAAGAGGTACAAATGGTCAGTAAATACATGAAGAAGTGTTCAACTTCCCTCGTTATAAAAGATGCAAATCAAAACTACATGTAGATTTCATCTCATCCCTGTTAGAATGGACATAATCAAGGGCAATAACAACAACAAATGTTGGCAAGGATGCAGTGAAACAGAAATCCTTATACACTGCTGGTGTGAATGCAAATTAGTATAAACATTGTGGGAAAGCAGTATGGCGATTCCTCAAAAAGCTAAAGATAGAATTGCCATGTGATCCAGTGATACCACTTCTAGCCATCTACCCAAAGGAGAGTATGTCAGAATACAATAGAGACACCTGTACACCAGTGTTCCTCACAGCACTATTCACAGTAGCCAAGCTTTGGATACAACTCAGATGCCTTACAACTGATGAATGGATCAAGAAAATGTGGTATATGTACACAGTGGGTTTTACTCAGCCATAAAGAATAATGACATGTGGTTTGTAGGTACGTGGATGTAATTGGAGGGCATCATGTTAAGAGAAGTAAGCCAGGCTCAGAAAGACAAAGGCTGCATGTTTTCTCAGATGTGGAGATAGAGCCAAAAGATAAACATATACACAAAACAAGCATGACCATGTCAAACTCATTTGTAAAACATGTTTGTAGTAGTGGAACTACTCTATAGAACTCAGGGAAGAGGGAAAGGAAAGGAGAATGATAGAACATCAGTAATATCGTAAAACATAGCATCTGTGAAAGTAGAGGATTTAAGGATGTATATTGAAAGCTGCTGAAAAATGGCAGGTTGGAGTTAAAGGGGGTAAGGGAGAATAATGGAAGGGTTTGAAGGACCAAAGTAAAGCATGTCCACAGTAGGAATATATTGAGAAACCCCTTTGAACATCAACTTAAATATTAATAATGAAAGGTCTGTAAAATAGGTACGGGGGTACTAGTTAGAAGGAGGGAGAGTGAGTAAAGGAGATTAAGGTGAGGGTGTATGGTTGATGGACTTCATATACTTATACAAAGTAGAATAAAAAAACCTCTTGCAATTGCATTCAGTGGGGTGGCGAGTAGGTTGAGGTGGACAGATGATAGGAATGTTGTAACTAATGTACAATGTAAACCTAGCTGGAATTGTCACTATGAATAACCTCCCGGTGTAATGAATATATCCTAATAAAAATGTATAAAAATAAACAATTAAAAAAAACCACCATATTACCCAGCTATTCCACTCTGGGTATATATCCCAAAAGAATCAAAGTCAGCTTACAGTAGAATACCTTCATACCATGTTTATCATGGTACTGTTCATAATACCCAAGTAATGGAATCAGCTCAGTTGCATTCAGTGGATCAATGAATAAGCAAAATATGTATACAGACCATGGAGTTTCATTCAAGCATAAATAATGGAATTGTTTACAGGCAATGATTGGAACTGTTAAGTGAAATAGCCAAATTCACAGAGACAAGTATCATGTTTTCTCTTATGTGGAATTGGGGGAAGGGAGCATATGAAGGTAAAAAGGAGGTTATTTTTAGGTATGTGGAAGGGGAATAAGAAGGTAATAGAGGCTGGTGATATAATGAAAGTAGTTATATTCATGTGGAAATTGTCAAAAGGAGACATTTGTATAATTAATATGTGCCTAATAAAAATAAATGTTATTTTCCTATATGGCTGGAGATGTAGCTGTAGCATGCCAAAGGTCCAAAGTTCAGAACATCCCCAGCATCACAGAAAAAAAAAAGTTAAGGCCTTTCCCACCTATGATTGTTAAAGATACACACGTAACCCCTAAGCTATGTTGTTGGCCTCTGTTCCAGACTAGATCCCATGTGAGCCATGACTGCTTGGAAGGCTGCAATACCTAGACCAGATTGATCTTATCTTTGGTTGCAGCTGCAAAATCGAGCATCCAGGCAAGAACAGCACTCTTATGTTCAGCATGCAAACTTGCTTTAGTCTGAGAGAAGAGTTTATAGCTGTGTTCTTCTTTGTTTTTTGTTTTTGTCTATTGTTTGCTTGTTTTTGTTTTTTTGTGGTACTGGAGTGTGAACTCAGGGCTTCATGCTTGCTAGGCAGGCACTCTTATCAGTTGAGCCACTCTGCAAACCCTATTTTCATTTTTTTCTTAAAATCAAATACATATTCTGGAGGGGAGTTTTGGAAGAGTTCTGTGGTATATGAAGGAATCTACAAATATCAAAGAATTCCCTTCCAAGGAAGAAAGATCTTGAAGATGGTGGTTCCCAAACCTCTCTTCCAGCTTGATATTCTGTGTTAAAGCAGAATATTAGAGCAGAGTTTATGGCTCTTCATGAATATATTTTAGGACAGAATGCAAAAATGAGTTCAGATTATTATAGTCTATTAGTAGAACAATGTCCACAGTTATTGACATAATCAAAATCAACCCAATGGCAGCAGAATCATTACATGTGTTTGAAATCAAAATGATCTTCCTTTGATGGTATCAATGTCTTGGCCATGTTCTTTCCCCATTGGTGTAGTGAACAATAAGCTGTCCTGCCAGCTATAACAGATGAAGAGACCAGGTGTGCCTTTCTATAACACCATCTGCTTCCAACTCACCTGCACAGTTTTGTAAATATCAAGTTTAGAACCTATGGTCTTTGCATACCTTAAGAAGTGTTTGTCTTCACATGAATGATAGTGGGCTGTTCAGCTTCAGCAAGGACCAAGATACTTCTTCAAGCTAAAAATCTAAACGTTAAAATAGTTGATGACATCAAGGCTGAGAATCTGCAACTGGATGGCTTCATTTCTCATTTGGCTCTCAAATTGAAAGTAACTGTCAAAAGTGTCTTTAAAGAACTTTTCTTCTAAGAATATCTTTACTCCTTAGTGGTTGGACTGGTTGCCCTATAAAAAAATTTCATTTTATTAAAAGCAGCTGGGTCTTTCCAAAGTAATTAGACCAGCTACTGTTCATATTAAGAACTCCTTTGGCCAAGTGCCAGTGGCTCACACCTGTAAACCTAGCTGCTTGGGAGGCTGAGATTGGGAAGATAATGGTATGAGGCCAGTGAGACCCCCATCTCAACCAATAGCTGGGTGCCATCGTATGCACCTGTCATCCCAAGATATGCAGGAGGCTGAGATTGGGAGGATCTCAGTTCTCAGCCACCCTGGGCCAAAAAGTTTGGAAGACCCCCGTCTCAGTGGTAAAAAACTGGGTGGGTGGCATAGATCTGTCATCCCAGCCACAATAGCAAGCATAAAATAGGAGAATGTACAATTTCTAACAAGTATGTATGCGTACACTTCAAACATTGAAACCTATATTTTCGTGAAGATTTTCTTCCCAAACTGAAACAGAATTAAATGGTACTTTCAGTAAAAAGTATTTTGTATAATCATGAACAATTAAAATTACATTTCAATCCGGGGGGGGGGCATGGCTCAAGTGGTAGAGCACCTGCCTAGCAAGCACAAGACCCTGAGTTCAGACCCTAGTATTGCCAAAAACAAGACTGCATCTTAAAATTGAATTTACTTAAAATATTTTTATGCTGTATTCTGCATTCAAAAACAATGAAGGCAAGCCAAAGCCATTTCAGTCAAGGAGGAAGTAGAGAGAAGTTACCAGTAGTAGATCTATGCTACAGACCTTCAAGCCCAAATAGAAGCTTGGAAATACAAGAAAAAAGGAAGAATTCAGTGAAAGAAATATTTAAGCAAATGGTTTTTAGTAGTTAAAAACAGTAGTAATTTGTTGTGGGGTTAAAACATTTGTAGAAGTAACAGAAAAGGGAATATTAAAAGGATAAATTCACTTAAAGTGTTGTTTTCATTGTTTTAAAAATTCTAGAGTAGGATGCACTGAAAGTCTTACCACTTGGCTCGGGGCTTAAAGTTATGTTTTGGTAGAAACTATTATCAGATTTACTTTATCCTGAAAAATTGAAATAAGTATAATAGATTGATTTGCTAGGATGCTGTTCAGACACCGTCAGCCTAAGAGATGACATTTGTTCATTGTGAAAGCATTGTCTCTTTTGTCTTTGGCAATGCCTTTTGGGCCCTTGGTAAAAGTATGTAATGTGATTACTCTTCTCTTACTTTCTTTAAACTTGAGTCTTATTCAAGATGTCTTATAAATCAAAAGATCCAAAAGGAAAATTATTTCACCTGTTAGTTAGAAGTTAATTACCTTGAAGTTTAAAAATCATGTTAAGGCACTTTCCCACTTTTTAAGTTTTTCACATATTTGTTGGTAGTTATTTTTAAAGTTAAAAAAACCTCAATAGATTGTAGGTAAAATTATATCATGCTTCATCAAATAGAATTATTGTAATGGAATAAGAAAAGTATGTTTATTGAAAGCTCCTTTCTCATATTACATAATTTTATTGGTCACATTTTTTTAAATTTCTAAAAACAGGACTTAATACTCCTATTTATTGCTGTTTCTTTCAGGAGTTTTTTGTGGAACCATTTAATAGAAAAGCACGCCAAGAAAACTTAAGGTATAATAATATGCTTAAACAACTTAGCAGTCAACAGTTAGCCACTCTTAGACGCTGGAAGGCAGTACGGCTCTATCTTACCTGTGAAAGGGGGCCTTGGGCTGAAAGGTAGGAACATATCCTTTATTAATTACCCTTTTTTCTTTTCTCTCTCTCTCTTTCTCTCTCTCTCTCTCTCTCTCTCTCTCTCTCTCTCTCTCTCTCTCGCACTTAAGAACTCTGCCTAGAACTTCTAAGTCAATTCTCTCTTCATAAAAAAAAAAATTTGTTTTCCCAGTATTAGGGATTGAAGCCAGGGCCTTGTACGTGTAGGCAAGCATTCTACCACTTGAGCCACGCCCCAACTCTTCATTCCAATTTTGGAAAGAGTACATTTAATTTTTTGTCTTTTTTAATCAAGTCTGGTGATTAGAGGTTTGTGTGTGCGCATGTTTTTCATCGTGTGGCTAATTACCTTCTTTTTTATTCTATGATACTAGGTTAAGTGTTAAGCCATTTTACTTCTGTGCCTCTGACACTGACTGCTTCATTAAGCTAGGGTCAACGATGCTATGTGTTCTGAGTATTTTACAATGTATTTAAAGGATCCTAACTCACTTCTATTTTACTGAATTTTAAATGTCATTTTATAGTGCTTTTATTTATGTGAAAATACATATAAAATTTACCACTTAAAAATGTACAGTTGATGGCATTTGGTACATTCATAATGTTGTTTAGTCATCACCACTTTGTGGCTTCAGAACACTTTCATCACTGCAAAAGGAAACCCTATGCCCATGCAGTAGTCATCACCCTGTCTGCTTTCTGTTTCAAGTACTTGCCTCCTCTGGTTAAATGCAGTCATACAATATGTGACCTTTTGTGCCTGACTTCTTTCATTTAGCATAATGTTTTCATTTCATTATAGCATTTATCAGTACCTTATTATTTTTATGGCTGGATAATGGCCATTGTATAGATATACTACCTTTCATTTATCCTTTTATCAGCTGATGGACATTTTGGTTATTTCTTACTTTTTCACTGTTGTGATTACTTGGACAATTGTGTATAAGTGCTGGAACATGTTTTTAATCCTTTTGGGTGTATGCTTATACATGGAATTGCTGGGTTGTTTCATAATTCTGTGTTTAACAGAATTATGCTGTTTTCTATAAGAGATGTATTATTTTATTTTCTCACTAGCAGTATATGAGATTTCTAGTTTCTCCACATCCTAACCAATACTTGTCATTTTCTGATTTTTTTATGGTCTTCCTAGTTGGTGTAAAGTGCTATCTTATCATTTTTTGGTATTTTTTTAGTAACTAATGATGCCGAACCTCTTTTCATGAGTTTGTTGGACATTTGTCCAACATTTAGAGACAGTTCCTTTGCCCATTTTTTAAATTGGGTTGTTGACTTTTTATTTATAGAGTTTCTTTAAATACATCCTCTATAATAACTCCTTGTCAGATATATGATTTACAAATACGTAGATTTCCTTCTTCCCTTCCTCCCTTCCTCTCTTCCTCCCTCCCTCCCTTTCTTCATTTTTTGTTGTTGTACTGGGTTTGAACTTAGGGCCTCACACTTGTTAGGGAATTGCTCTACCACTTAGCCATGCCCTCCAGGCTCCTTTTGCTTTAGTTATTATTTTAGGTAGGATATTGCCTTTTTGCCTGGGATCATCCTTAGGAGTTCAATCCTCATACCTATAGCCTCTCATGTAGCTAGAACTTCAGGCAGAAACCAGTATGCCTTGCTTATTGATTGAGATGGGGTTCTCACTAATTTTTTACCCAAGGTAACCTCAAACCTCAATACTCCTTATCTTTGCCTCCTAAATAGCTGGGATTCCAGGCATGAGCCACCATGCCCAGCCTTTTTCTAACTTTTTTGATAGTGGTCTTTGATGTTTAAACTTTTAAAATGTCAGTGAGGTCCAATTATTTCTTTTGTTGCATATTTGATCTCATATCTAAAATACCCATTTCCAAGTCCAGGATCATTAGGATTTATCCCTTTCTTTTTTTCTAAGAGTTTTGTTTGTTTGTTTGTTTGTTTTGTGGTACTGGGGCTTGAACTCAGGGCCTACACCTTGAGCCACTCCACCAGCCCTATTTTTGTGAAGGGTTTTTTGATAGGGTCTCACGAGCTGTTTTCCCAAGCTGACTTCTAACTCTGATCCTCCTGATCTCTGCCTCCTGAGTAGCTACGATTACAGGTGTGAGCCCCTGGCACCCAGCTTCTTCTAAGAGATTTATAGTCTTAGCTCCTATATTTTTAGACCTTTGATCTACTTGTAATTATATTCTTTACTTTTAATGAATTATTTTATTTTTAAGTTATTTGGATATATGAACTCATTTATTATTAAGAATTTCCTTCTGTGAAAGAGTAAAGGTACTAAGGTGAAAGTATGAAAATCCCTGTTCAAATCTTATTTCTAAACTTCATAGCATCTTAGGCAAATAATTGAACCTATCTTAGCTCCTCCTGTACAAACTGTATATATACACACTTATTTTAATTGTCTCATGGTTGTTTGGATCAAGTGAGGTAATAATTGTGAATATTTTTATGAAATGATGCTAAACAAATGTAAAGTACTGTATATACTATTTCAGTCAATTAATGTTTGTAACTCTAAGACAAATAATATTACTTGTTTCTGATACTTTTAGGAAGCAGAATCCAGTTCACTGGAAACTAGCTAATGTAGAAAATTATTCCCGCATGAGACTTAAACTGGTGCCAAATTATAATTTCAGAACCCATGAGGAAGCTAGTGCCTTAAGAGATAATTTAGGTAAGTTCCAATCACTGTTTAATTATTTATTAAAGATCAGATGTTACTGGGTTGGTTATTATTGTCTTACTATTTTAAAAATGTTTATGAAGTAAGGGTAGCACTTAAAATTGGTATTTAAGTGGTTGTTTGATCAGTGCTGTTACCTCTGGCCTAATCTAAGATGACTTCATGTTTCCATTGATTATAATTTTTCAAAGAAAAATTTTTTTCTTTTTGGAAGTACTGGAGTTTGAACTCAGGGCTTCCAGGCACTCTACCATTTGAGCCATGTCTCCAGTCCTTTTTGCTCTGGTTATTTGGAAGATAGGGTCTTGCTTTTTGCCCAAGTAGGCCTGGACCGTTAATCTATTATACCCAGCTTTTTTCCATTGAGATGGAGTCTCACAAACTTTTTGCCCAGTCTAGCCTAGAACTGTGATCCTCCTGATCTTAGCCTCCCGTGTAACTTGGGATGACAGACATATACCACCATGCCCAGCTTTTGATTGAGAAAGGGTCTCAAAAACTCCCTGCCCATTCTGGCCTCAAACTGCAGTCCTCCTGATCTCAGCCTCCCAAGTAGCATAAGCCATCAGCTCCCAGCTGGAAAAAATAATTAATTACAAGATTATACTGTGTTTCATGTGAACTGCTATGACTCTTTATGTGAAAGTGTCCTTCTCTCTTAGACTAATGCTAGATAAAATTAGAATTCTTAACAATCCTTTAGGCCTTTCTTTTATAACCCATTTTAAAAGAACTAGTCCCTTAGTGCCC